CTGCGGCTGCTTCTGAGGCATGTTGTTGTGCAGTTGTGAAACTGCTGGAAGAAGCTTTTTCATTTTTTTGTGGTCAAAGATGACAAAGTTATGAAAGCGATTATTAGATAAACAAAAAATGTAACATTTAAACTGACCTGCTGCTGAACAGTTTTCAAAGTTTTAATTTGATTTGGTAAAATGATAATTTTTTGTTTAAAACTTTTGTATAATTGTTAAATGTTAAATGTAACTTAATGCAAAACAGCTCTGTTTTTGTTGTAAAAATTAAGTTTTTAACAAAGTTTAAATTTAGCAATCAATCCACAATGTTTTTTTACAAAAGTTGCTAAAATTTTACATAAAAATGATTTTGAACAAGTTTTTTTTAAATTTAAACTAAATAAATTAGTGTTAGCTAGGCTTACTTAAATTGCAAACCAGACTTTGCTGTCGCATTGCTACACAAGTAAACTAAAAAACAAATTAAGCATTTTTTAAAGCCCTGATGCACAAACGCGGTATTCGTGTTTTTGTGCAAGTTTATTTTTGTATTGATCACATTACGGGTCATAAAACTTAGTCAGTCAGCACTAAATAAGTAGTATTCTGAAATAGAAAAAGTGAGCCCGTTTGCGATTTTCCAAAGCAAAATCATGTTTTTAATAAGGAAATAAAGACGATCATGTATAGAAAATCAAAATGTTTATTGAGGTAAGTTAAAAATAGGATGATTTTTTCTGTACACCATGAAAAATAAATGCAAAAATGAAAACAGGCAAAAAAAGTGGGATAAAAGTGGAGAGTAAAGAATTTGTTGAGAAGCCAAACACTGCTGGGTAGCTCGGTCGTTGCGTGTGGTTGTGTGTGTGTGTGTGGAGTAACTGGAAACCAACTGGTAACTGTTTGGGTGAACAAAAGTTAAAAATAAATAGTGATGATGAAGGGGTGACCAGAATGATTAGATGGACAATTGAAGGGCTGGGGGGGGGAGTGCTAGACAACATGTGACAATTGGAAATTAGTCGTAGAGGGAAATAAGTATTTGTGAATATAAAGACCAGTTAAATGAAGAAAAAAAAGAAGTTTTTATTTAGAAAATGTCAAAATATGCTTGAAATAGGGAGTAGGGACAACGGAAGGGACGAAAAATTGACTTAATTGTTAAAGTTAAAAAAATAAAGGAATGATAATAATCATTACCATTGTTCAGTGTCATTAAACTGAGTTTGAGGTTTTGGTTTTCAGTGCAAATGGACTTGGAATAATAAACTAACTTGCTGGTGAACTAAAAAAGGTTAGATTGCTGTGGATGTAAACTTTTTCAATCATTTTTGGTTAACTCATTTTTGCGCTCTGCAGTGCAATGACTTTTTGTTTTTTTTGCACTTTTAAATTAACTTGTAATGAAGGAAATTTAATCTGTGACGAGTAGTTCAAAACTTGATATCTTTTTTTAAATCAGTTTTTTGTTTACTTTTGTTAGTAGTGCACTGCCTAGATCAAAAAAAGCTTGTTTGAAAACCAAATTCAAAAAGTATGACATCAACTCTGCATTAGGTTTTTAAAAAATAAAATAAAATATTGTAAAAAATTTAAACATAAAAATATATTCAGTTTTTTGTTTTAATGTTTTATTTTTTATGTTTAAATAATGCTGCGCATTAGTGGTTTTGCATTTTAAAACCTAGATTTATTCAAGATTTTTGTTTAAAATTTTGCAAAAAATAAATAAAAACAGTGTTTTATAAATACCAATTTTTGCAACTAAAAAAATTTATGAATTGGTGCAAACGTTCTAAATCCTCTTAAGTTTGCTTTTAACTTGCTTTTGTTTGCATTGTCATTGCGTTTTATTTTTAACCGCATTTTTACTTTTAACTAACAAATTTTTTTCAATTGCAAAAACTAAATAAAATTTAAAATTTAAAATTGGCTTTTGAAAACAACAATTATTTTAGGTTTAGTTTCAATTACTCATTTTTTGTATCCCGGACATCATTAGCGGAACAATAAACAGGCAAAAAAAGATTTACAATGACTTGACTCAATTTGCCTATCAAAAAAGATCATTTAAAAACAAATTTTTGCAGTCATTTTTTATTAACACTGTAAAAAATCTATAAAATAAAATTTAGATTTAATTTGATTATTGACTAGTTAGAGGTCATTTACTGTCTGACATTATTGTCTCAATAACACCAAAAATGCCAAAAACAAAATTAAATGTTACTGCGAATGCTTGGCAAAAAGACGCTAACTGATCGATTTTAAAAAAAGAGAAAAATGGGGAAAGAAATCAAACTGTTGAAAACAGAATATTGAATTTTCATTTTTTTAATTTGTTTGTGCGAGTGTGCAGAGATCTGTTGCTGAAAAATCAGTTAAAGAAAAAAAGAGAGTTGGAAATTAATGAGAATCAAGCCGATTATGGGATAGAGAAAGAGGTCGAGAAGATTGAGAAAAAGCAAGAGAAAAGTGAAAATGAGAACGTGTATGTGTGAGTGTGTGTCAGTAATTCACGGAAAATAGCAGCAAAAATAATGATGAAAAAGTAATGTAAAAAGAATGTAATGATAAAGAAAGACAGGAATAATGAGTTTCAACGGTGTTCAGAAGAAAAAACAAAAAGAAAGGGAAAGATTTACTCCTCCGCCTATTTTGCAGAAGAAAGAGCAGAGGTGATGCAAGAAAAGAAAAGCTGCTGGTGACTGGTGTCCAGCTAAAAAAAGAGCAAAAAGAAGAAATGATTGCAGTTGTTGCTGCTACTGCTTCTGTCGCTGATAATGCTACCGTTTCTTCACTAAATCTTGAAGGAATTAGAGCATTGGTAATGGGTAATCATAGACAGACAGACAGACAGACAGACAGACAGAGAGGCAGAGAAGCAGCCTACGCAGTTTGACCATCAGCAACAACCTCGAAGTAAATGTGCGTGTGCACTGAAAGCACTGAATCATGGGCGCAGAGAATCATAGAGTGCATAGGAATCATGAATAAAATTGGTCGTGTAGTTGGTTTGTGGGGAGCATGAGAAGCATCGTGTACTGACACTGACAGCTGTTCTTTCTCCTTTTTCAGAGAACAAGAAGGAGAAAAAGTTCAAACCTCTGAGAAGTCGTCGTTTGAATCGTTAATTAGATTTTCGGTGAATATTCGAGCTTCTAGTTTGGGTGCGTGTGCGTGTGTTTGAATGGTAAGCGAAATGGAAGCAAAGCAAACGGTTGACCTGTTTTGATTTTTTTGCAGTTCTTTTTCTGCTAAAAATCAGCATCCGCAAATTATATCATGCAAATCAGTGCACAGTGTCAATGTGCCTGATGCGGGTCAGCGTGCCCGCCACTGTTCGATTAAGAAGTTTTTTGCTCCTTTTTTCTTTCTCTCTCCTTCAATAAACTCATTGGAATGATTTATTTATGTTTAAATAAAAAGCAAAAGTGTCATTTTGGTTTTTATTCATTTTTTTCAAACATAAACTAAGTTCCAGTGTTTGTCCAGTGTTTGTTTGTGCATTTTTAGTTTGTCACAGAAAAAAAAACCGTAAAAGAAGATTTGAGAGGCGTAAGGAAAAGGGATATGAAAGTTTAATGAATGCTCCGTTTGAAGGTGGTGATGAAAAAGTAAGGAAGAAAGAAGGTAAGTAAGTAAGAGGAAAAAAGGTGGTGGGAAAAAATGGTGTCAAAAGAAGTGAACATTGTGGCCATTTTAGCTTTTCAAAAAATAGTAATAATAATAATATATTAGGCAAGCGGTCATCTAAGGAGAAAGAGGAAGCGGAGAATGCGGTTGAGAGTGAGAATGAGAATGATTACTATCACTACTTGTTGATGAGGAGGATGAGGAGGGTGATGGTGAGGGTGATGACACTTGATTGATGGAAGGTTGCTGCTGGTCAAAGTGGTTCTGATGGGGGTGAGGGTGAGGGTGAGGGTGATGGTAATGGTGATGGTGATGGTGGTGGTTGTTCGAATGATGATGCTGATGATGATGTTGATGATGAGGTCGTCGGTTTGGTCGCTTGGTTTGCGCGAACGGTAATTCGGCTTCAGAAGAAGACCGCTGCTGCAATTGCAAGTGTTGCTCGTGTTGATCAGGTTGAAGCGGTAGCTCGATTTGAACAGGTAGCTCGATTTGAACGTGTACCTCCGGCTTAGCGGAGGTATTTGGCTCTGGTTGCTGCTGCTGCTGTTGCTGCTGCTGCTGGGTGTGTTGCCGCTGAAAAGTCGTCGATGTTGGTGTAGTTTTTGCTGCTGAGGCTGTTGTTTTTGACTGCGGCTCTCGAAACTCCGGCGGTGAAATTGGAGTCGACGGGGGCGGTGGTGGGGGCGGTAGGTGAGGAGGAAAAGGGCGAGATTGAGAAAAGTGTGATGGAGAAGAAGGTGGTGGTGGTGGTGGTGGTGGTGGTAGTGGTAGTGGTAGAGGAGGATGAGGTAAGTGGGAAGGAGGAGGAGGTGGTCGTGGTCGTAGAGGTGGTGGTGGTGGTGGTGGTGATGATGGAGGTGAATGCTGACAAGAAAAACACTGTAGGATCATCATGTTCTGCTTTTGATTTCGCGTTTTCATCTTTTTCCGCTTCTTCTTTTTCTTCTTTTTCATCTTCTTCTTCTTCTTTGTCTTTCTGTCACCTCCATCATCCTCAACGTCCTCCACCTCTTCTTCCTCTTCCTCTTCCTCCTCCTCCTCCTCTTCATCACTCTCTTCGAGGATCACATCCGATCGGGTGGAGGAGGAGGTGGTCCTAGTGGCCACCACTTTTGTCTGCACGTGGCCAAGCTCGGTAAGTTCGATTTCTAAGCTGCCATGGGACTGGTGGGACTGCTGCGAGTGCTGCCGCCGAAACTGTGGTTGTTGCTGCGATTGCATCTGCTGCAACTGTCCCCTGAACTGACTTCTCCTACTATCAAGTGACCCTCTCAGCGAGGATCCTCGAGCGGTTCTCGAGCTGCTCTCAGTGACGCCCTCTTCCTCCTCCTCATTTCAGATGAAGGTCCCGCCCGGCGTCACCCCGGTCGCCGACTGGCTGATCATCTGCTGCTTGGTGGTGTTCATGTCAATGGAGTTGATGGAACGGAAGCCGGGCAGCGTCAGACTCGTCTCGCGCGGTCGATGCATCGGCCGGTAGAAGCAGCTGAAGATGTAGCGCTTGAAGTGCGAGCGGAAGACGCCGCTGATGCAGCAGAGGACGATCGGGTTGAGGCAGCTGTTGAGGAAGGAGAGGACGAAGCCGAAGATGCGCCAGACGTGCCAGAAAGCGTTGTAGTGCTCATTCGCCTGCGGGTCAAAGTAGAACCACAGCATGAAGATCTAAAAAGGAGGGGGGGGGGAAGGGAAAAAAGGATATTTTTTTAATAAAAAAGAAGATTTTGAAAGTTCAGGTTTTGTTTGCGGATTANAATCAGTTAACTACAGCCGGCTCAATATTCAATTGTCCCCAACTTATATCATGTGAACGTGTGTCATCGAACTGGCTGGCTGGCTGGCTGGAAGAAGCAGTCGAAAGTCTGGCCCAGAGCATTTTCGCTCATTTTGACACACGAAGGTAGCACACACACACCCACACACGCCAAAAGTATTTTTAGACATCTTCACCCCCCCCCCC